CCCTCCTGGCGCACCCCCCCCGAGCCAAAAAGGTCTGTTCAAGTCTACTGCTGTGTCCAGCCTCCGAGCAACCTGCCCCGGGATTTAGCTTGTCCTGGTCCATAACCCATCCCGATATATTTAACCCCTTCCAATATTTGACCCGTCACAGTATTTAGCCTATTCCAGGCTAAATTTTATATTTAATAATCTACTTGGCAAAATATTTTTTCCCTACTATCTGATCAGGATTTCCCACGTCTCAGTGTAGGGCCGTTGACTCTCCTGCTGTCAGCGTGCACCTTCGAGAAGGTTCTGGCTCCGTTTTCCCTGTATCCTCCACTCAGGCAGGTGCAGGCAGAGGTAAGGTCTTGCCTTTGCCCTCTCCAGGCACTCTCGCCCTGCTCCGTGGCCTCCATTGGACTCGCCCCAGTATCAATATCCATCTTGCAGCGTGGAGCCCAAACCTGGGCATGCTACTCCAGACGTGGTCTCGGAAGGGCCAAACCGAGGGGAAGGATCACCTCCCTTGACCTGCTGGCTATGCTCTTACTAACACAGCCCAGGATGCTGTTGGGCTTCTTTGCTGCAAGGGCGCATTGCCGACTCATGATCGACTTTCTTGGCCCCCAGATCCTCTCCTGCAGAGGTTTTAAATTATTCAGCTGTGTATTTGGGCTCTTGAGACTCATTACAATCTTTACATAAAGTACAGCAAGCTGCCTTTTCCTGCAAGGGTATCCCTCCCTCTCTGAGGAGATTCCCAGGCTCAATCCCCAAATGACAAAGAGAATACAGAAGTTTAATGTCAAAAAATGACATCTCTCTTTTCAGTACACTATCAACTTCAGGTCAAGAGTTTCTGAAGGACTCTTGTGTCTTTACCCTTGAGAAACTCTGACTCAGATGTATATGCGGAAATTCAGGATGCTTAATCGTGCAACTCCCTCTTCTGACAGGTTTTATGTTGATTTTTCCTGACTAACAAGACTAACAAAAGACCACTTGGGAAGTATAAATTAGACAATGTTATTGGCTCCTGCTGGGTAGTGAAACCCAACCAGGATGTTAGCAGAGCGAAGTAAGAATCCCCAGGAGATAGAAAAGTACTTCATTGCCTACAGAGCACATTCTGGTTCATCATTCATTGACAGGAGCCTGAGTTAGACAAGATAGGAACACAATGGTGGCAATATAAAACCAGATCCATAGGTCTGTACTGTAGATTCTGCACCGACTGATGATGTGAGCTGGGGCAGAAAATGTTTGCTAAATTGCCCAACAGTAACTTCAGGGCACAGGGGATCCTGACACCCTCCCCAGAGCTTCTCCTCGTGCCTGGGAAGGTGTAGGCAGCCCATGACCATGTCTGCGCACCATTCAGGTTCTCTGCTCTGAAAATTACAGGGCAGAGCTCTGCTTTTACGGGCCCCTTCCTAGGGAGTTCCCGCAGAGTCAGGGGTGCAGCTTCTAGCTCTCCCAGTCACTGGAATAACTTGAAGTATCTCCTTCCGATTTTATACCCTGTGTTCTGGATGTTTAAACCTCATGGCTTGGCCTAAGTCAAGTAGCTGAGTAGACATCTAGAATACAGACATCTTTGCTATGGACTTTTCCCCAGTTTTAGTCTAGCCAAACCACTTATTTTCACATTTAGCAGAATGGCCTAGACTTTTTAGCATTTATTTATATTTGGCCCTGAAAGGGTTGGGCCCAGATCCAGGAAGGTGCTTAGGATCTTACTTAATTTCGGTAGGATATAGATTCTTTACATATTTATAAACGGGGCTTTCATTCTCTTTTAAGGTGGTCTTGAAATTGCTGATATGTTATTACCTGTGTATATTCTGAAATCTATCTCATACTCTTCCAAAAAGGGACTGCTAATTGATGACAGGTATTTTTGAGGTTCTTACGAGGGTTTTGGTTATCTGCACTCAGTGTCATGCTGTGCCTAGACTCCCAGCACACAGCAAAGTGTCCGCTTTGGGGCATTTCTTGCATGTAAAGAACCTTGCAGTACCAAAACACGACAGTAATGTAATTAACCCTCATGAGTGTTGTTTTCTGTGCCAGTTATAATTCTTTCATTTGCTTCCATTTGGCATGGCCTTTTCTGGGTCCCCTTGTGCTGCTTCTGGTCCAATGAGTCTTGTTCCTGCAAATTTGGGGATGTTCTTATTTCTCTACGCAAGTTTACATTGTGGGATCCCCTCAAAATCACTTCAGCAAAGTGCTTGTTGTTTCTTTCCATCCATTCTCAGAGGCCTATTTTAGAGGCTGCCTTTGGAAGCCGGCGCTCAGGGTTGTCCTTCATATGAGGTCAGGATAATTTGGGAATCTTCCCTGGTATTTAATTGATTTCCTGACCTGTCTCAATGAGCCTGTTTCAGGTACATTCATCTCTCCAATTCCACAGCTCTTATGAAATTACACAGTATTTCACCCTTCTCGTTTAAATAAATGAAATCATGTCTGCTCAAAGAATACATTGCATCATGGCATGAAATACTGATCTCAACCACATTGAACTTTTTAATTAGGACAACTGTGAGGTTTCCAGAAAGGTCCTGTGATGGGGGTCTTACTGCACAGAAGAAGCATAAGTGTACTTCTCTGTTTCCTGATCTGCACTAGAAACTGCGTGAGATGTCTTACTCAGATAGAGTATGGGATTTGACAACAATCTGAACAGTGTTTAGAATAAATTAGGGTCTTCTAGATGTCAAAGTTTTAGCAGATCATAGGGTTCTCTCTTTTAAAATATTTTTTATGCTGAAAAAAATGTCATAGCCTTAAAGAAAGACAATCAGTGTTACTGTGGACCAGTCCTTAACCTCACTGACCTTTGTTTTTCTGTCTTTACTTAATCTCACAGCCTCAACTTGTCACAGCTGATGGCTTTATGACCTTTTGTCATTTTAGCCCTTTTCTCTTCATGTTTTGCTGCTAGGCCTGTGAGGCTTTTCTTGCAATGTGTCACTGCTGCTTTTCTTTTTCTTTTTCTCTTTCTCTTTTCCTTTTCCTTTTCTTTCTTCTTCCCTTTCTGCAAATGCTTTTGATTTTGATTCTGGTTACTTGTCCTCCTGACACCATGTAGAGATTGCAGAGGTCATGGATGTCAGATGAGCCAGAAGTTTCTTATTCTTATACAGACTCTTAACCAGCTGGTGGCCACTCTGAATATAGGATTCTTTTAAAACTTTCCAAAATCTTTAGATTTCCTAATCCAGGTGTTGGATCAATGGATCATGGTCAGGCCTCAGCACACTGCACAGATTGCCGTGAGGTATTGTTACGAAACCTTTATCTTACAGGTCCATGCATTTCATCACTCATTTTAATTTTAGGCTGACTGCAGATTAGTTACCTCATAGGCCACAAACGAGGTAGTGCCATCATCATCGTTATTACTGCTAATCGGTTCTGAAGCATCTTTTGATGGGCCCCTAATCTAATCTAAAGCAGAAGACATGATTTAATTTTTAACCTATTATTACTATTAGTAGGTATAAAGCACAGCTTAAAAAGATTTGAAAATGGTCAATCCCAGTTAATCTTATTCAGGCTATTTTCCTCCAGCTATCCTAATCTAGTCTCGAAACTATGGTTAGTAGTCACTGCAGTCCTCTTAATGCCCATTTTCTCAGTAAAGGCTTGTTTAATTTTCCTTCTTTTTCTTCCCACTTTTCCAAAGTCACTTTTGAAAGAAGGAAAAACCAGCTTGAATAAGGCAAAACTGGAATGAGGGCAAGGAACATGGAGGCATACCTCACTCCAAGTAAGGATGCAATAGTGAAACTGCTGTTAATAAATGAGCTCTGTCAGGCTTTCCTAAAAGCCCAAGTTTTATCACCGAATTCCCAGTGCACCCCTTTCTCCTTGAACAGTAAGTGGGTCAGTACATTTTAAACTACGCCTTTTTCAGCTCAGCGAGAGGATTTTTGGGTCCCTTCTCAGGCGATTTGGCTGCGCATTTTCTTTTTAGATGCACAGGCCGCTTTGGGTGGAGGAAGGCTGCTGGTTTGCTGCTGCTTTTTTAGCTTAAAACGGGCAACACCGGCATCGCCGCCGGGCCGCGCCGGTCTCGCCTCAGCGCTGAGGGGAATCAAGGAGGGACCCCACCCCCTCCTGCCGAGCAGGATGAGAGCTCTCCTCCGATTGGGCACACCTCCTCCTCTTCCGGTCGCTCACTGGTCGACAGAGAAGAGGGCTTGAGAAACCTCTGCGCCAATTGGTTCTTCATGGTGTCAGCTCTTCCCCCGTCAGCCTAGCCGTGAGGAGAGCGGGCTCTGGGCTGATGTGGAGCCAGGCGCGTGGCAGCCAATCAGGCGCGCCGGCGTCGCGGCCGCCGTGCGCCGCGCGGGATCCGTCCGCAGCGTGGGGCCGCCCGGTCCCACGCCGCCTGAGGGGCGGTGGCGGCCGGCGGCCTCCGGGGCGCGGGGACGGCGGGAAGCGTCGGGGCTGTGGCTCCCTCGGGGCAGGGATGGGGAGCGGGGGGCGGCCTCAGAGTCCGGCTGGATGAAACAGAAGTGAGGTAAAAATAGGAAATGACAGGTTTGCTTCCAGGGCTCGCGGGGAGCTCGTAACACCGGCCATGACAGGTTCACCAGGTACTTGCGTCAGGTGTAATTCTCGGAGAACTGTAGAAAACCTGACCAGAAGCTCACCTTTACACCCCAGGGCAGGACAGACTGTCAATCAGCTGGGGGTAGACAGATGCGGAGGGCTAGGGCTGCCCTGGAGACCCCTCGCAGAGGGCTGTGGTGCGGGCGGGAGGCAATGCCTTCGTAAAACCTGGGTTTTACGAGCTGCACCCCAAGACTTTGTGTCCCAAGCCGGCATATATCCACGCTCGTTAAC